AATAGTGATTTTACATACCCTGGATTCATAGCAATAATAATCATAAAGATGAATTTTTTTCTTACTCCAAATCATAAAAGTTATGTTTTGTTATTTTCCCCCCTAGATGAGGATATTGTGGCCTGAGTCACACAGACTATAGGTTCACTTCATGTTCAATAACTAGGTCATGATTAATGTGAGTTCAAATAATGTGAAATTTGATGGAATATGAAGTATAAAATGATGCCAAGTCTCATTTAATTCCAGCTAGAATTCAATTAATGCAATATGTATAAACAAATTGAAGGTTTTAATATATAGCTATGTCATCAGCCTGTACTTTCCTGTTAAGCATAGATATGTTGTGTTCCTATATATAATTTTGCTACCAGTTATGTTGTTTTTTAAAAAAGTCTTTTATAATTGACAAAAGGAAGAATGTATATTCCAGATGGAAACACTGCCAGTGTAAAAAAAAAGTTTATTATTACAGTAGAACAAAAATTTGATGTAATTGAATGAAATGAATGTGATCATATTAACTCTAAAATAGGATCAGAATACCTAAATCTGTGGTATGGAATATTCTAAAACATGCCATAAGAACAGAAGGAAAAATCAAAAGTTGCATCAGCTTTTTTTTGTGGTTTGAAACAATTATAAGGAATGATGTGTTACAGTGATAGAAATAGAACATCTTTTAGTTGTATGGATTAAAGATTTTAATAAAAAATGTGTTGCTCTTAGAGCAGCCACTCAGACAAAAACTTAAGACAGTGAAAGAAAATAGAAATGAAATGGGTAGTGAATAAATGTTTACTGCAATGATTAGTTTGTTTGATCACTTGAAAAATCGAGTATCTTTAGGTATAATGTTCAGTAACTTTAAAATTTTACTTTCCATACCTACCCTTTACTTTGTAATAAATTTGAATCAGAAGTACTCTTCTTATCCTTTGCTGTTATGTTAATAAAATTATAAAAGCATATTATGTTAATAAATGGATAAAAACTTATATTAAAATTTTTCATTGAAAACATCCATTGGTCTGTAACCAATTATCATATTTTACATATAATTATAACTTTAAATAGTATGAATTTGAATAATTTAAATACTTCATGGGATTCATTATTTGCACTAAAAGCTAGCTGTGTATCAATCTAGTTTTGCTTTAGTTGCCCAGGTCTTCTTCAGTACCATGGATAGAACACAATCATAGCATCTTCTATTTGGAAGAGAACAGAGGAACGTTCTAGTACATCTCAACAAGAATTTCCCGTTGCAAGGTTGTATTTTTTTTTAAACCAAAACAAAACCCTGTGTGTATGTATGTGTGTGTGTGTGTGTGTGTCTGTGTCTGTTGATTTACCAATCTGGTGAAATCTATAAATCTTAGTAGTTGGCCAGTTATGGCCGATGGTCAGTTGTCTGTGGGCAGGAAGACTATGATCACATGTGATGTAGTGATGCGTCTAATTATAAAAATTTCAAAATATTAATTAGCAGGAAATTTTGATATCAGCAACAACTGTAATGTGACATAAATATATGAGTGATTTTTAGTGACAATAAAATCATAGGTACTGGTTTGTTGTCTACATTCATAATTGAAGGAGATGCTAAATCTTCAGTAGAGATTAGTGAAAATAAAGATGTGATTTCCCCCCCTTTTTAAGTTCATGGACTCCCTGAAATCTAGCCCTGTACCCTGGGGCTTGATGCACCCCAGATTGAGAATTCTTGTTTTAACAAGCCTTGGTCATCTAACCTTTAGCTAAGTCCTCAAGTGAGGGGGAACCCGCTACCTCCTAAGGCAGCCCATTTAGGATAACTCTAATTGTTAGAAAGTTTTTCCTTATATGTAGCTCTTTCTCTATATATAGCCTGTATCTAGCTCTCTGTTTTCACCCATTTTTCTTAGTTCTCTGTTCTTAAGTCATCCATACAAATCTATTTCTTCTTCCATATGATAGCCCTTTATATATCTGAAAACAACTTAATGTACTCTTCCATTTTGGGGATAAGGATTCCTAGTCCTTTTAATGGGTCTTCATGTGGCATAATTTGAGGTCCCTACCACAATAGTTGCCCTCTTCTGATCATTCTCCAGTATATCACTGTCTTTCCTAAGTTGTAGTACCTCCTTCAGAACACAATACTTCAGATTTGGTCTGACTAGAGCACAGTATACTTTTTGCCTAATCTGGAACACTGTGTCTCTCTTAAGGCAACCTAATATTACTCACAAATTCACTTATGCCTTCCCTGAAATGCAATAATTGGGGTTGTGTGGAGGAATGGAAACCTTTTAAGGGGAAGTGAGTTAGAATGATTCGCTTAGTTTTTTTCTAAAGCCAGTCTTTGAGCTTTTGCTTCATTAGTAGGTTGTCCAGGGATCAAAACTAACTACTGGGAAGAATGGGTCAGTTTGCAGTCACTTGGAAGATTTATATCAGAGTTGAGTAGGCCAGGTTGGTTTAGAAGCTGAATTAAATGGGTGGATACACAGAACAATGATCCAGATCTCCTTATTCCCCACTGTGGGTAGGTATATGTAGGTATGATAGGATACAACCAATCTGGTCATACCAGAGTCATTGGGATTGGAAGATGTCTTCTTGTAGGTTCTATTATATAAAGAATTAGAAAATATGGCCCCTGCCCTTGTGGAATTTATAATCTCAGTTGGGATATACACAGGCGTACTATCTAATTTACAAGAGATATTGATCTCTAGATATAGCTCTTTGTGCAGAAACTAATGAGTCAACATATCAACAAATGAAATGTAGTGCAGACTGAATAAGTAAGTGTTGAGGGCATATAACAAACGGAATTAACCCAAAATTGATGGCAGGGCAGGGAACTCTATGCCAGAAATTAATTTATCTCACTGAATATCTCACCCTTTTTCAGTCTGTCTTACAGACTGAGTGGGATAAATGACATATGTTTAATATTGCTAAACACATTCAATTGTCTGTTATTTTATGGTTGAGAATGTCAACATAGTCTTAGTACTGATCTTCTGAAATCCATTACTAGCTTTATCATGCATTTCTGGGACATTAGTCAGTGACTTCACTTTCTTATGATTTTTTTTTTCTTTTTAAGCAATTGGGATTAAGTGACTTGCCCAGGGTCACACAGTTAGTAAGTGTCAAGTGTTTGGTCTGAGGGTAGATTTGAACTCGGGTCCTCCTGACTTCAGGGCTGGTGCTCTACCCACTGCGCCACCTAGCTGCCCCTTTATGATTTCTAAATATCTTCAGATTATAGTAAGTACTAAGGAGTCCTCAAAAATTATCAAAATGAAATTAATTTTAAAAACCACATAGAAAAATTATTCCTGGTCTATGTTGCAAAATGAAATGTAGAAACAAAATATTTTAAAATTAGAAGGGGCCTTATAAATCCATGAACGCCATTATTTTAAAGATGAGAAGATTGAAATATACAGAAGTGAAGCAATTTGTACAAAGGGCACACAGGTAATTGTTGTTGTTAAGTCATGTCTGACTCTTCGTGACCCTATCTGGAGATTTTCTTGGCAAAGATACTGGAGTGTTTTGCCATTTCTTTCTCTAGATCATTTTACAGATAAGGAAACTGAGGCAAACAGGATTATGTACATGATTTGCCCAGGGTCACACAGCTAGTAAGTGTCTGCTGCTAAAATTGAACTCAGAAAGATGAGTCTTCCTGACTCCAGGCCTTGTGCCACCTAGCTGCCATGCAGGAAATTAGTGGCAGAGTAAAAAGTTTATCTCAGACTATCATTATAGGACTATGTCTGGTGATATTTTGTATTTTTATACTTTAAAAAAATCCTCATTGTGTTTGGGGGGGGGGGAAGAAAGAATTATTCAGAATTTGAAAAAAGGATGTTAAAGGGGCAGCTAGGTGGCGCAGTGGATAGAGCACCAGCCCTGAAGTCAGGAGGACCTGTGATCAAATCTGGCCTCAGACCAAAACACTTGACACTTATTAGCTGTGTGACCCTGGGCAAGTCACTTCAACCCAATTGCCTAGAAAAAAGAATGTTAAAATTGTTTTTACATGTAATAGGGAAAAAATAAAATATTAAATTAAAAAATAATTTAAACAATCCTCATTATGCAACATATATTATTCCATCTCTTGGGCCCCCAGAATATAAACCAAGTCTTAATCATGGAATTGGATTTTCTTGTTGCGATGTAAATTTTGTATTTTTTGATGTTATGGTTGTAATAACAACACACCACTCTAGAGTCATTTAGGTTATCCTAATGCCCATAAAGCATATAGGCAAAGAAAAAGTTTGTACTTTTCACTGTTCTAATCTGTGTTAACTCTGTGTCAGGCAGATAAAGTGCCCAGTTTTTGATTAGATAAAACTCTTGACCTAATGCAGGGGTCTTGAATCATTCTCTTTTTGCTGCCTTAGTTAATTTAGATCCCAGTTTTGGTCCTGATAAACTTCCTTTACTAGAGCCTCACCCAAGCCTGTTACAGATAAGTCACTCTGAGAACTTCTCCACCACATCTGAGTCTGATTAGGAAAGCCTCCTCTCACAATTGTTCCAAACCAAGGCCATCTTGGAGTATATAATTTCGCCACCTGAACCCCAACTTTGAGCTTGTTTCTTCTCCACACAGCTCTCTCCACACTGGGTCAGTTTCTTGCATCTGCTGGGACAAACCTTCCCAAGAAAAAACTCTTGTTTATATTACCTTCCCAAGTACAAATTTCCTGTAAATCCCTGAACCCAGGTCTTTGCCAGAGCTCTTGAGAAGCATTTGCCTATTTTGTTACATCTGCTTTTTAAGTATGAGCCCTGAGCTTTACCTTTTGCAAGACAGAATGACAATTTTGACCCTCATACAGAAATACCTCATAAAAGAAGGGAAATACTTGTAAGTCTTAAAGGCTTAGAATTTTACTTGTGGCTGAGGATGACTGCTAGTTGTGTAAATAAGCAGTCAGGTCATTCTATATTCTATCTAAAAGAGATCCAAGGGGGAAAAAACCCAGCAATTTAGGTCCCACCTTTCACTGAGAACAGCTGATTTTGCCTTTTCTTTCTAGCCAATGGTGATCAAATCTTTCAGAAAGGAAACTAGATGAGTCATCTTCTGCAGATAAGCTGAAATATTAATAGTTCTATCTCCAGAAGTCCTCAATGCAGCCAAATCACACAGCACGCCTACTCATCTCTATCATTGGAGAGGTTCATGGCAAAGAAATCCCTTCAAAACAGCTTGGATCTTAAAGCTTCAGAAACCGATTAAACAGCTATGAACAGTACAATTGAACCTGAATATTAAGTCGCCCCCCCACCCTCCTTTTCCCTCTAACCAGTTCTTCACGGATTGTGGTCATTTTGTTAGACAGATGGACTTGAAACCTGCTTGATCTTGGAACATCACTTGAACAGTCACTGCAGTGAGTATCTTCCAAAGTGGGTCAGTTCTGGGTTTTAAGATTTAACAAATGCTAAGAAATCTAAGACCTTGGCCATTTTGAAGGGGTGTGTGTGGGGGGGTGTGAATGTGAGTGTGGAATGTGAGTTCCTTGAGATCAGGGACGAGTTTTTTGCTTTTCTTTGTATCACCAGCGCTGAGCACAGTCTCTGGCGCATAGCAAACCCTTAATAAATGTTGACTAACTCGACCAGATAGGACTTTTTGGTTTATTATTCCGGGCTGGATTTGAGGAGTGGGGGTGGGGGTTGGGGAGGAACGGAGCCCAGAGGCATTGTATTTTGATTGGCGCACAGCCATGAGTTAATTAAACTTGACCAGGGGACTTCAGCGTTCCCATTCCCTTCCATCATCTCCCGGATTTTGTAAAATGAAGGCGGCACGGGCCAGAGATCTGCAGCGGGTGAGAGGAGATCTGCAGGGGGCACCCCGCACAGGAGCACTCTCCCGGAGGGTTTGTCTGATTCTTGGCTCTAACCTCAAGCTCCCGGCCCGGCACCGATGCTCAAGGGCCGGGCGAACGGGGTGGAAGGGGAAAGGCTGCTGAGCCCCGTCCTAGTGTTATCCTCTGCGCCACATCAGGCCCTGCCACCCCGTCACCAGCCAGTCAGTCACGCACTCTGCTTTTTTTTTTTTTTTTTTGGTTTCCCCTTCCCTCCCACCCCCAGGCTCCTGCGAATCCAGGGGCAGCTGGGAGCCTCCTAGCCGGGAGTGCTGCACAGGGCGCTCTGCCAACTGCCTTCCCTATGGCGACGGGACGGAGACGGATGGGCGGGGCTTCCGGCGCGGCCGGAAGTGTGAGGCAGCTAGGGGTTGGAGCCGAGGGGAGTGATCGTCCCGTGTCTGTCTACTTCAGTCACCGGGTAGCTACCGTCGCCCGCTGCCTGTTCTTCGTGCCGGGTCGGCTCGCGCCTGCTGCGGTCGCTGGGAGCAGCCGGGGCTAGTGGCGAAGGAGCCCGTGGCTGGCAGTGAGCGGGGAGCGGCGGCGGCGGGAGCGGCGTGAGGCCCCTCGGCGGCTCTGACAGGTGAGAGCCGCTTCCCGGGGAGGGCAGGAGCCTGCTTCCGCCCGGGCCTCTCCACGCCCCGAGGATGCGGGCTTCGCTCGGCTTCGGGACTCCGAGCCATCCTCCGCCCCTGGAAGCCTGGCCGCCATCTTCCAGACTGGAGCCCCCAGCCCCCGGAGAGGGCGGCACGGAAGCTGCGGGGCCCCTTGGCCCCCAGCTCCCTTGGGAGCCTGCGCCCTGAGTCGTGGGGAGGGGTCTTCACGCTGTGACGGTGGGACGTGCGGTGACGCGGCCAGCGGATGCACCCCCGCGCCCCGCAGGCTCCGAGGCCGGTCCTTGGTCCCGTGCCTCCCGAGGCCGGGGGCAGGAAGCGCGGTGTCCTTCGGGGCCGTGCCGCAGCTGTCGGACGGTTCGGGGCAAATGAGCCCAGGTTTCAAGGCCGTGCACTCCTAGCTCCGCCGGGATGCCCCTTTCCCCTTTCCCCTTTTGTAGGTCTTTCCACTGTATTTCGCTCGCTTCTTGTCCCGAACAAAAGACCGGAGAAGTCACTGGGAAAAAAAGGGACATGAAGGAAGCCATCCTTGGCCTGATCCATTGTAATAGACCAGCTTGTGCACATTAATTGCTGCAATGCAGGGCACATTATTATTATTATTATTATTAGAAATAGTTTTATTAAGTAATTTAGGGATAGGGGCAATATCTGTGTTTTCATTGCCTAAGATTTGCCTACAGCACTGAGAGATTAAGTAATAACTAAATGTGTAAAGAGCCCATTCATTCACTTAATATTTATTGAACCAATTCTAATGTGCAACTACTGGTTGGGGAAATAGCTACGTGTAGTGCGAAACACACTCTGCTTGGAGCCGGAAGATCTGGGTTGTTTTTGTTTTAGTGACTGCTATGTACTTAATGAACCCTGACTTTGGGCAAGCTACTTCCTCCCGATAAGCTTCAAGTACTTCATCAGTTAAATAGAATACATAAATGTTTGCCTTGCTTACTTTGTGAGGTTAATATAAATGGTCTATTACACAGTGCTTACTCTCTTCCCCCACCAAAAGATTGTTCTTATTTCCATTACGGTAATCTTTTTGCAACAATCTGGTCAGGTTAGTTGTGGTGTAATTTATTCAGGACAGTAATAGAAAGAATGTATATTTGGAGTCAGGAACCCTGGCTCTGACTTTTATTATAGTCTACACTTACTAACTGGATGATTATGGGATAATCATTTCATCTTTATGAGGGCCAGGTTCCTTCTCTGTAAAATGGGAAAAGTAATCACCTATTTCTTAGGATGGTTGAGAGTAAAGTGCTTTGTAAATGTTTATAGTGCAATATAAACGTTAGCAGATAATGATGACAAAGGAACTGTTTAAGTACTACTTCTGTCCTTGTTGATCTTGGGCAAATATAACGTTTCTGGGTCTCAGTTTTCTTCCTTTGGAAAATGAGAGGATGGGTGAGATGAAATTCTAGATCATGGGTGGGGAACGTGTGGCCTCCAGAGGGCAGGTTCCCCACCCCTGTTCTAGATCACTGCTCTAAAATGGTGGCCAGGCCCTCCATTGGTTTTGAGTATGATCTCTAGGGAGTATGCCGAATAACCCTCACTCCCTTTCCAAACAATTTAAGGGGAGGGAATGATTCTTATCCCAGCCTCCCTTGGTAACCAATCACTGAGTGGTCTCCAAAGCAACTTTACCATCTCTTTAGTCCATTTTCCTCTAATACTTCTCCACCCCTTACTATATCTGGCTTCTTATGGCTCTGCAAGCGCCCTACTTCTCTTATGCTACGGGTTTAAGTTATCCAGGCACTCATACCAGTAGTTTTTCAGGCAGTATTCAATTTGCTCCCCTAGCATATCCGTCATTTACCTCCTAGATCCCTTCTGGATAGATTCAGTTACAGTGTAGGCTACATGTGTGGGTGCACTAACAGGTGAGTAAGAGTCCTGGTCATGCTGTCCCTAAAATATATATTTACTTATAACACTATTTTTAGGGAGAGCAAAAAAGATTTTGTACCATCAGTAAATAATATATTATTTTCAAAGTGTAGTTTTTATTTTATCTCATCCTTTTAAGATTTTTATGTAAGTTTTATAATTTACATAATTATTGCAGTACTATATACATTCATATATATAATATATGCATATATATATGTAATTTATAAATAAGTAAAAATTTGGAGGAAGTGTGCCCAATAACTTTTTTACTAATGAAATGATTTATGGGAAAAATTTGGGAACCAGTGATCTAGAAGAGATAAGCAGCAGTTAGGTACAGTAAAAAAAAAATAATTGGTTTGCTGTCAGAGGATCTGAGTTTAAATCTTGCCTCTTATACATTACCTGTGTGTTCTTGGGCAAGTGACTTAACCATTCTGAGCCTGTTTCCTCCTCTATAAAATGAGAGGGTTGGGTTAGATATCACCTTTGGTAACATCCATTTCTTTATCTGTGATCCTTAAGGTCCTTTCAGCTCTATAACTTACTCTGCTCGGTAAGCTTCAGTGGTTCCCTATTGCCTACCAAAAAAAGTTCATGCTCTTTAGCCCTGCATTCCAACTTCTTAATAACTTGAGGCCACTTTTTCCAGACTTTGTCTAGACACAGCTTTGGACTGATTGCCTGTGAGGTACCTTCTCCTTCCATTGCTCAACTTATGTGCCTGAAATGACTTTCTTTACCTCACCCTGCATTTTGTTGAAATTCTACCTGACTTTTAAGACTCAGTTTAGATAAATTGCTCTTATTACCTGTACCCCTTGCACTAGGCAGTAATGCTTTTTTCCTCCCTTGAACTTCACTTGACATTTGGTTTGTTTCTGTCATATAATTAGCATGTACGATTTTGTTTCAGTACCTTGTATGTATATGTCTCCATCCTGTTCCCACAGATTGAAACTCCCATGAATGAGTCAGAAACTCTGCTTCATCTAAACATTTTATTTTGCTTAGTGCCTACCACATAATAGGTGCTTTAAATGTTGAATTCGAAATGTCAGTGTTATTAATGCCACATGGCTGATCTAGACAGTAAGCAATATAGACAAGGACTTTAGAGGCCGAAGGTGTTATTTTTATTTGTTTTCCATTAAGTTCACTGTTTATAATGACTTGGAGGTAATGTAATGGTCTTTGGAGAAAGATTTACAAGCTTTAGTAACTTGAAAACAAACAATGTTTATTTGAATAAAAAAAAATTAAACTAGACTCATGCTTACTGGGATCTTGACCTCTGGCATTGAGTAACTGAATACCATTAAAGGAATGCTAATTATCTTTTGAAAATGTAGCTTTCAGTTTTTTTAATTATTCTGGATTATAGGTTGTGTCATCACCTTTGAGAATAAAGAGTGTGACTTCATTTTCTAGTTTTGCAACTGACTTACCTCAGCCTCTCCTCTGTTAAATATTAGTCACTTGCATCTCAGATGAGAGGATTAATATAACATAAAGTGATTTAGGTATTAATTTGGAGTAAAAGTTTTAAATTTATATTACATAAAACAATTGTAATTATGCTAGTGAAGCTCTCTAGATGAACTGTTTTATTAACTATAGGTTTGTGTACTTTACCACGGAGGCAAAACAAAAAAACAGGTTTTTCTTCTGTGTTGTTCTTGCTTCTGAAATTTAAAAAAATAAAGATGCTGAATTGCAGATAATCAGTTCACCTTTTCCTGAAGATTAAATAGGTAATAAATGTCTGAAGATGGATTTAGAGCTAGAAGGAGCCTTAGAGATAATCTTTTTCAAAATACTCATTTTGTATTTGAGGAAATTGAAGGCCAGTAAAGGAAAATGACTTTTCCAAGGTGATGTAAACAGCAGTTCCGGGATCTTAACCTGTGTTTTAGGGGAATTTTTGGATTGTGAAAATTTTCCAATAAAATGCACTTCTTTTTTTAAATAAAAGGAGCTTTTCCTTGATGTGACAGT